ACAAATGCATGCAAGGAATCAGGTCACCAATTACAACTAACTTGAAATAAAATGGACTGAACTATCCTTCTGTCAGAAGAGAGAGAAAAAGTTGCATTTCTCTCTGGTTTGCACTTCTGTTGTGCTAGTGAGAAATACCTAGAATGTACAGCTGCAGTGTTTGTTTAATTAGCTATTTAGACTATTATCTTTCAATCATTCAGTGAACTGATTCAAACTCAGAGAGTGAATAGACTATAATTTCTTTATGTGGGTGACAACAGCCCTAGGAAAATGTGGTTGTATAAGGGTTAGAAATACCCATAATAGTATGCATGTGAAATGAATGCTGAAAAGCAGCACAAATGTTTCCAGTCTTGTATCCACACAAAATTGTGAATTGTATAAAGGATTGGCTCAATAAAGGAAGGCACTGCCCTAAGTTTACAAGACTTGAGCAGGAAGCTACTGATGACTGAGGCATTTGGAGGTCTTTCATTCTTAGGGTCATTGTAAGTCCCTAAGTGACTGGATGATAATATGAAAACAACCAAGCCTGTTTTAATTGAAAATATTGTTTAAATGAATTTAAAAATCTGTTAGACTTTAAATGTTCCCCATATAGTACTGAAGTGCAGGAATACACAAATGAAATGAGGACAAACAGTGTCCACATTTTTCTTGCTCACGTAATACTATTTTTTAAATAATGTATTTGTTGTGTTCCTTTCTGGTGCAGAACTACAATTTCCCATGGTAGGAGCACTGAGAGTAGAAAACATCTGACAAAACTATAGGAACAGTACCAGGGGCATCACTAGGAGGAGGTGCAGACAGCATGAGGTGACATCTTAAAGGGTGTGTGTGTGTGACACAAGTACTCCCCAAACACCTGCCTTTGAGCAGAAATGGACTGTGGTGTTCACCTGTGTCCCTTTAAAATGCGGAAGAGATTTTAAAAAATCATATCTTACCAAATTTTCACTTTAACCAAATCAAACTATGTACATGTAAACACATTTAGGCTGTGGACATCACATTGTAATTTAAAGGTATAATTTTAATTTTGCCAGTTGTTTATGTCATAGCAATTGCCATTACATTCAGTGATATACAGGAATTATGATTTACAAGTAACATTAGTACAAAAAACATTACTAAGGATTCTTTATGGTGCGGTATTGGAGGAGGCCAATCAGGGAGGCGACACCATGAGTTACTGCAACAGATGACACCAACCTTAGTGACGCCATTGAACAGTGCAACAAATCTGGCTAAAGTTAGTATTTTCACAGATGAATCCTATTTCTGTGCGACTCCAAACCTGCTTACTAATTTTAATAGTGTTTGCTCCATGAAACTGCGCTTTGACTTGTAGTCTTACAGTACAAGCCTATCCACCTCCTATTTGGAGGTAGATTCCCTAAATCAAATTGTGAGTCCCATCTAGAGGAGACCCACTGAATCTGTGGAATTTGCATAAGCATTTGCATGTGTTTGCCTTCAAGTTGCCTGTTGACTTATGGTGACCCCATGAATTTCATAGGGTTTTTGTAGGCAATGAATACACCAAGGTGGTTTTGCCAGTCCCTTCCTCTGAAATACTACAGCACCTAGTATTCATTGGTGGCCTCCCATCCAAGTACTAGCCAGGGCTGACCCTATTTAGCTTCCAAGAAGAAACAGGATCTGGTGCTTTTAGGGTGTTTCGACAGTAGCATTTACTTACAGAGATAGAATCACCTTAGTGTTGCCATAAGCTGGTAATGACCTGAAGGCATACAACAGCAACAACAACAACAACAACATTTACTTTCCATTCAGCAATTGACTCAATGGCTCAGTTTTAATGGGGATTAGCATTCTCTGGTAGCTGTGCTGGGGATTGACCACTGAATTGCTTCCAGTCTAAAGAGATTTGTTTATCTTTTAGACTGAGGTTTTTAAAACCTCATATTTTTTTACCATGGTATGTTCCTTCTCCATTAAACATATACATTTGTGGGAGCAATACTGGTTTTCTTTATCACTTAACTTGGCGAAAGAAAACTTGTATCCTTCTCAATGTTGTAATTTTTGTAACTGAACTAAACAAATATAAGCATAAAACTCTGGTATGCAAAATGGACCCCAGAAAAGATATTAATGTTTTTCTTATAGAAAGAATGCTGGATTTAGACTATACCAAATATTTAACCTTTATGCCAAAATGACGAGAAAATGAGATGAATTTTCTCATTTACTCACTCAGCTCTTGAGAGTGAGCAGGCAGTATTTCTTATTTTGTAATGGTCACACATCTAACAAATTGCAGAAATATCTGGAAGAGTGAATTATTGAACCCCAAATAATTTGCTTGACACAAACCTGATGCAGTAAGTGAAATGCAACCAATTAATGATTATTTAAGTTGACTTTGCAGTCTCATATTTATTGAAAAGTAGGTCCTACTATGTTGAACGCAACTTATTGTCAGATAGCCAGCATGGTGTAGTGGTTTGAGAATTGGACCATGACTCTGGAGACCAGGGTTCAATTCCCAGCTCAGCCATGAAACTCACTGGGTAACCTTGGGAAAGTTACACTCTCTCAGCCTCAGGAGAAAGCAATGGCAAACCTCCTCTGAACAAATCTTGCCAAGAGAATACTATGAAACATCATCTTAGGGCTGCCATAAGTAGGAAATGACTTGAAGGCACACAACACACACAGGTTTGTGTTGGCTTGATGCCTTAGGTTACAAGGAGACAGTATCAAGTTCTACTCAGG